ATAACCCACTTCAGTGCGAATGCAGCGGTTTTCTCGCCTAAGGCGTCAATGACGGGCTTGGACGGTGCAGAGATGATCCAATTCATTAGATTGAGAGTTGAGCGATCGACACTCCCTCTCGGCCTCTTAGAAGGAAGAACAGCCGTCTCCAGAAACGCAAATATAATCTCCTGTGCGTGGCTATTTCACCCTACGTACCTGAAATTCCGGTCCTGAATGGTGCTCCTCAGTCTCCACCAGCCTAACACTGTCCGGTTTAGCGCCTCCGGATAAAGTGACCAATGGTCCGCCTCTTCATGCAATCTGCATTTTTTCTGAAAAATTCGACAATGTTATGATTACTCGAACCATCGAGGGAATAAACAGGTACGCATGTTTCCCATTTTGTCGCCGACTCAAGAGTCGTTTTCTCACTGTCCCGTGTTATGCATATCATATGTTCCTTTCTTTCTCCCACCTCTCTGTCGTGTCGAGAGAGTCAGATGACGGTATATATACTACGTAAATACATGACATGGTTGTCTCACAATCAATGTTGGACCCACAGGCTGCGCGGCCCACGGCCCATATGCTCATCTCAGTAATCCGCGCTCCTTCACTCAATATGCCATCAAGCCTCCCCAGTATGCCATCAGATCTCCTCATTGAGCGAAACGCAACAGGGTCGCTTGATTGATAGTCTAACAGCTCCAAGGTCAAGATGTTTGAGGTTTTTGATTCAACGAGTCTACAATATAGCTGCGAGCAACTCACGGTCTGTAGCATAAGCTTTGGACTCAATGTTCGATCAGCTTCCATCTGGTTTGATAACACAGATCGCCTAGTATTCTTGCTTCCTTTAGAATCCAACAGTGACAGGTCTTACGAATACGGCGTTTGTATGATAGTGGATTAAAAATATATACATACTACGGCGTTTTCATTACTTTCGATCAATCCACATAGCTAACAAGATGAGCGCCACGCCACACCCACGGCGTGGCATCTCAAACAGCCTCTATACTCTAATGCTCAAACTTGTGGTTAATATCATAACTCTTCAATCCATCATCATTCTCTCTCATCAGTAGCTTTCAATGATCTACACTGGAGCGATTTCATGACATAAAAAGGTAATACGCCGTGTCTCAAAATAGTCTCGATATAGTAAGGACTCGAAGACTCCACCCATCCCGCATCAATGAAAAATCATAGCATAGAATTAACGAAGGTAGGTGGTTGAGTGTCCGGATTTTGAGACAACGCACTAACGAAAGTGTGTTCGCAATGGTCGCTCACTCCAGAATGTGCTGAATCTCGAGCACCTACGTGAGGGATACATGGCGGACTGAGACGAATCATCCACAAACCCTCGTTAAAAGATGCTGAGGGGAGTTTACTCTGGCAAGACGATCCTGTCCTGAAGGAAGGTCACCGAGTGGTTCAACTTGATTGATCCCTCGGCGAAGGCCTCCGCTGTACCCATAATGTCCCATACGCTGTCATTGCCCTCGAATGTATCCAAGGTCAAATGGAGGGAACCACCAACAGCATCGAGCGTAACATTATCCACAATCGCTGTTTTTATGTTGAAGCCCATATCCCCACCATCTGTGGCGTACACGTAGCTAGTTTCAGTGGGCACATGTTCCATGTCCATAACTTGGTAGTTGTAGAAATATATTTTAAAGTGAGGATCAGCGATGATGTTCTTCTGCAGGCGACCGAGTAGACCAGGCTTGGGGGATTCCACATCATAGGTCGCCAGGGAAAAGGTCGCGCCAAGCTCGCTGTTGTTACCAAAAACTACAATCTTCGCATCACCACCAGCGTGGGGTCGCAGCGTTCTCGCAGTGTTGTCCTCGAACTTGGCTGTGAAACCAATAACGACATTGTCCTGTGGGTTTTTAATATCAAAGACATCAACAATGGCTGTCACTTCCTTCCCTTTACCGGTTGTATTGCGCTTGCCATGGAAGCAGTAGTACTTGCCTTCCGGGCGCATCTCCGGTGTACAACCCGGGGGATATGAAAAGCTACCGTCAGCCGAAACTGCTGCTAGCTGGGGGACTCCAGAGTATGAGGCAATACGCTCCTCATCTTGCTTGATAAGATCGGCCTCGTACTCCTTCAGTAGGTTGATGGCCTCTGGCGTGAGCTCCATGTCGTCGAAGCTACCGAAAAGAGGCTTCTCATCACCACTTGGACGGTCGACCACGATGCCTTCAGCAAGTGAGGTGAGGGCTATCGTAGCTACAGAAATCCTGACGAACATTTGTGAGGGACTGGATGAGTCTAAGCTAAACAACTTCACTCTCTCTGCTATTCGATTCTAATATCATAACTTGAGTTTGGTTCTGAGGTGTCCATTGGACATTGTCCATGAAGGTCATCACGTAAAGTCGTGGACATTGTTCACGATTTCACGTGACGACGGGGACGCACAACGTGCGATGGAATGTCCCAGGTTTAGTTTCACGCGAGATGAAAGTTTGGTTCGATCACTTAAAACTATGTTCAAACTCTATAAGTGACATAACAATGCACAGTGGTGATACGTTCAGTAGTGGATCTGAACTCAGGAGTGGTGAGCTTT